CACCTATTTACTCAGCAACTAATTTCCCCCTTAGCTCAAGTCGGAAGACGGCAAACAAATGGCACATATGACAAGAAATTGAGTGATACGGTGGGTCGCTTTTGCGATTTTGACTTTATTATCTTTAAAATCCATTTATATTATGAAACTGCTTAAAGTTTATCCATAACTGCATAAGTGGTTCAGTAAGTAATTAATAGAGCAAATGAAATGTAATGTTGTGAAAACAATGCAGGACTAAACTTTAGAAAAATCTACGAAATATCTGAGGCAAAATAAAATTTTATTGTTTCCTAACCAGCGAAGAAAAGAATCTTTTAATAGAAGATTTTTAATTTAACCATTTTTTAAAAACTTTTATAATACTTTTGTGCTTTTTTAGATATGAAAATTAAAAAAGCTGTAAACAGACGAAAAAATATTCACAAAAATATCAAATAAGAATACAAATAAAGATAAGACCAGATCCAAAAGAAAATAGTCATATTAAGCAACATTTACGTAAATATTGAGTCGTAGGACGTTGCATTTGCATGTTTACAATTACAATCGTCTCAAAGATGCGTCTTTAAAACAAAAGATATGATTCTTTAGAGAACAATGAAATATAACTATTCCAAATGAGTAAAGGTACCCCATATAGTAAGTAAATCTGTTTACTTTACTATTGTTTTAATTTGAATTTAAAACTATGTATCTCTTAACTTTTGTTTTGAATTTACAAAAAAATGTATGAAGGAATTTGAGTTTCTCGTCACTTTTAAATGACACTTTATTGCAAATAACATGAATAAGATATATATCAATTTTCGTTTTAATAAACCTACTTTGTGGATTTAAACAAAATTAAAGACATTCCGAGGTCTTACGAATAAATAGAGCGCAAGTCCGTCAATTATATCTAAGGTTAAATTTTCATATCGGCCTAATTTCACAAAACTATCACAAAATCTTCAAAAAACAAAACAAAACAAAACAAAACAAAAAAAAACAAAACCCCGAATGATTTAATTAGCATATTAACGTTACGACATCTCTCAATGTCATTTCACTATACTATGTTTTAAACAGCTTAAGGCAAACTATAAGAATTTCCTCTTGCTATATTGTTAAAAAAAAATGCTTCATCGTAGTATGGTTTTATTTTATGTAAAAGTGTACCATTAAGATATCTTTCTAAATTTTGGGCTCGGAAATAAAATCTGACCATTGTAACTGAGATAGGGGTAGCGGGTGGTGGGTGGGGTGGGGTGCTGAGTTATGACGCAAAATGTTATAACAACGCAAATGCAATAAAACCAGGATAATTGAATTTTGCGTTATTACATTTTGCGTCGAAATCAACACAGAATGTAATAACGCAAAAGGTAACAGTGCATTTTTGGAATTATTACATATTGCGTTATTACATTTTTCTTCGAGAACAAAGCAAAATGTAATAATGCAATATGAAATAATACGATTTTTGGATTATTACATTTTGCGTCGAGATTGAGTAAAAGGCAAAATATATTAAATCATATTTTTTTTTTGTCAGCCAGGTTGAGTATAATTTTCAACTGGGTTGTGGAAGAAGAAAAATGAAAAGAATATTAAAACAGAAGGAAACATTACACAGTCATATGCTTACTTTTGAAATAGATCGGATTTTATAATCAGTTGATTTCATTTGAAACATGTATTTAAATCAGTTTAGATAAATATTCAAAGCATAGGTGTTGCAAATTAGAAACGTGCTTGCTGGGAGGGGTTTTTGTTGTTGTTTAGGGTGTTGTCCAATGTGCATTTGCTTTTTGATTGATAAATGCAATAAATCTAAAAAGAACAATCTATTAATTTTTACTTACAAGTGTAAATTTATAGCGGGAAGGGGTTTATTGACAATTATGAATCCATACTGTTTTGAAAACTCTCTCTCTCTCTCCAGTAATGAAATGTATTGTTTCTGATGCCCCTCCTTGCATTCACAGATACACACACTTTTAATTTGTTAACCAATGTGCACATCATGCACAAATGTGAACATGCATATCAAGAGCTTTTAATGGACCTATGGACAATCTTTGGTCAAAAATGTTATTGGTTAAATATTTAATAAGACATAAATTTATAAAAAGGCATGCCAATCAAAGTTGAATTAATGTTTTATAAATAGAGTGTATCCAATAAAAATGTCAGAAACAGAGTTCGATAAAAAGACACATTTAAATTTAGTGATATCTGTAAAAGCCGTAATTTTGGCCTCATTTTCATAGTTCTAACTATTTTTTTAAGTGAATTTTCCTGCGTTAATACGCTTAAATCAATTTTATGATGTTTTGTGTTTAACACAACCCGAAAAAATTAATTAGATTTTGTTTTATTACAAATTGATTTATCACATTTTGCGTTGTCTTCACCTAATTATAATTACACAATTAATAAGCCTTCTGAAGAACTGTCAAGAAATATACAGTAATCCGATTTTTTCTTTTTTTAAATAAATGTTTTCATTTAAATGGAACACAGAGTATATGTAGCATAGAACTCTACTGCTCAAGACTTTGAAAATTGTGGACTAAGAATGATCTGCATAAAAATTTTACTTACTAACAAAAAGAAACTTACTTTGTTCCGTACAATACCCAATTCCTAAAGTTTGTGAACTTGAAAACTATTATTATTCATGATTATTATCCACTAGTTGTCTTCGGTTTATTGCATACATTAAATCTTGAATTTTTTATCAATGTATGAACTGTTTTCCGTAATTAGACCATATTATAGTAATATATTGTATTGAAATCGTGACTGTTAACAACCCAAAACAAAATAAGGCTTAATAAAGTTCATGTTAGTAGAATAAAAATGTGCATTTAAAAAGTTTTCTAACAAAGGAACTTGTTGAAAAGAATTTTGAAAGATTCATAATATACAATGTATTATACATTATATGTTATAGTTCCTTTATATTTTAAAGCATAACAAATTGTGAAGAATAAACATAAAATGATAGTTTTAAGAATGAAAAATATCAGTAAAAACAATTAACGTATATTCAAATTTTTAATTATTTGTAAATACGACGAAGTGAAAATCCTCAAAGGGAATAAAATTGGAAACATTAGATAGAAGTGTAAACCAGAATTAAAGTCATTCCATTTCAGCTTATTTATGTGAAATAAGGATACTCAGCTAAGACGCATATGGTTCTAGTAGAAAACAATTCACAGTTGTTTTTTTTTAGCACAAACACCAACAGTTTTTGTGTGGGCTGAAGGATGTTATTATGTTGTATATTTCCTGTAATATTCATCCAAAAACAATGTCACATTTTCATGTGTGACTTTTGTGCTCTGTAAAGAGTTGATCCAAAGTAATATCATAAAGTTCGATAGTATCTTTGATATACCGGTATAAGTCACTAACCTTGTTTAAAAACTAATTGAAAGCCTTTATCGACATTTTAATGTAACAAAGGCATTAAAAAAGTATATTAATGTAGATAAATGAAATTGGTGTATTTTTTTTGGAAACCATGCTTTCCTTTGAACACGCATTAAAAAAAAATATCTTTTAATACAATGTCGATGGTATCATAACAGTTGACATGCTTGAAGGGACCTTAAAGAATTTACTTTTAATAAGAAAACGATGCATTGTTAGAACGCAAAAAGTAATGACATATAAAAATGAGATAAACTCCGATTATTAAAGACGATGAAGACAAATAGAAGTGCATGTGTGTGTCTGGCTACATGTAGGAGAATCAGGGATATAGGAGGGGGAGGTTGGGTTGGGGGTTACTCCGTATACTGATCGTTATATTTATATGCGCGTACAGAAATTATTCATTTCATTATCGGAGGGAGAGAAAATTTTATTTTTGCTGGTCTGCAATTCACATGATCTGTATAATATCTTGGGCTTTATCTAAAGTTTATAAGTTTATTTGTAAAGAAATCCCCTCCCTGCTATATTTAGACCTGCGAGTAATACATAGTAAGATTTTCTTAATCCCTCCCCCCTTTTTTTAAAATTCTTTATTTAATACAAAATGTTTCATCATTAAATATTTAACAGTTTTACAGATTGTTTTTTTTTCATTTAAGAAAGAAAGAGAGAGAACTGGCATGTATTTTTCTTTATTTCATGTACCCTGATCGACGAAATTGCATTAACCTCACCCCTGAACACTCACTTTTCTAATTTGAAACACCTATTTTTTCAATATCAACTTATTTCAAACGGCTCATAAAATCAATGTGACGAAATCCATTTTCATGTAATAATACTGTGATAATAGGTATATATTTAGTTTTCCTTTTGTTTTATTTCCTTTCCGTTTACTTTCTTAATCCACTACTCAATATTATTAACCTGACTGACAAAAAAGTGTTATAGAATTTTGCGTCATTGCATTTTGCTTAATCGTTTGATGCAAAATGTAAAATTCCAAAAATCGTGTCATTACATTTTGCATTGATTTTGACGCAAAATGTACACTGAAATAACACAAAATGTTAAAGTTCTTCAAAAGTCAGGGGGTTTTTTTATCTTGCATTTTTCCATTCTGCGTTGAATCGAGCGCAAAATTTAATAATGCGAAATGCATTGTTCCTGGTTTATAATATTTTGTGTTGCTATTACATTTTTACTTTGTAACAATGCATTTAAGTCTACGAGTGAAGCAAAGACATATAAAAAGATCAAAGGTTCTTTTAAAAGGACAGGACCCCCACCCCCTTCAATAAAGACCCTTGGCCTGTTTTACTTTTTTCTCATACACTGTCCATGGATGGTGACACATCTGTGATATAATCTATATCATGAATTCGGAAAATTGGCTTTATTAAATAGCAAAATTTTTTGAAAATTACTAAATAATTTTTTTATAGATTTAGCATCTGCTTCTGAATTCTTAAGGAAAAAAACTTGCAGCAAGTGTCTTTAAATAAATTGAAAAAAATGAAAGTCAACAGTCTGAATGATGAAACATTTTAATATTAAGCATTTGCTTCACAAAATTATCACAGACTTCAAGAAGTTGATCAAAGATATATAACAACAAATATAACAATTACAGAAACAAATGGCATTGTTGTATGTATAGATTAAATCAGAACAATTAAGAATTCCTGAGATCTATAATATCAGGAAAACAAATTATATCACAGAAAATCAGTATCACATCTTAATAATTGAACATCACAGATATTTGAATTTTTTTCCCCAAACACTCTGACTGTACTCTTTCAACTTTAAGGATTGCATGAATATAAATTAAAACAATGCTTAGTCCTCAAATCCAAAAATCGAATCCACCTCAAACCAAGAATCTTCCGTCCTCTTCAGTTTGGACAGCTTTGAGTTGCTCTTTTGATTCTTCAATCTCTCCTTTGGAGAAGTCAAGAAGAATTTACCTGGAGGCTTTGTAGGAGCTTTTCGAATATTCTGTGACTTTTCTGATTGGGGTTCCTAAAATTTTAATGCTCAATTTTGGACAACTGTACTTTTATTCTATGTTCTATTATAATATTAAAAATTAATGTTATTCTTTATTTCATTACTTTAAACATTTCTTATTCACTTATACAAGTTGATAAAATAAATACAGATCTAGAGGTAGAGTTAGGCCATTTTTTTTACCTTATTGACTTCCTGAGTGGTTCTCTGGGGCTTCGCTTCTTGTTTTCTTCTTGTCTGTGTAAAACAAAACAAAGAATATTTACCATTGAGGGTGAAGTTACATGGTTTCTTGTCTGGTACATTATTTTCACGATTTTTTGAAAAGAGAAATTTTGTTATTTGGCTTCTCTTTCAGAGACTTAAAACAGTGTTTTTACACTGTACATTTAGCATTCTTTAAAATATTCTTTTCTTACTCAGATTCAGGTGGAATGTGGTTAGTTTAGATTTTGTTTTATCATTGTAATCAAAGCTGTGATCTTAAAATTTTTTCTCTTTGGTTCTTATTATCTCCAAGAAACACTTTAAATAAAAGTCATTGCATTTTAGACCAAAGTTTACATAATTATACGTAATAACAAAGAATAATTATAATAAGACTGCTACCCCAGGATTTATTTTAGAATATAAAAATCTAAGACAAAACATATTTTGAAAGGAATTTTTTAATTAAACTATCGTGATTAAGCCACATACTTGGTTTAGCGTGGAAGGAGCTCTGGACACCCTATTCAGCTGTAACTGTTTTGGAGTTCTCGTCTCCTCTTCCTCCTCACTGTCATAGGTCAAACTTCTATCTGGTGTTTTTACTTTCGGAGATGGTTTCAGCAGTAGTGGTGTTCTCTTTGGTGTTGTTGTTTTCAGACGACTCTCAATTTCATCCATCTGAAAAAAAAACAAACATTTGAATATTGGCAAATCTATACTTTAAACATTAAAGTTCCACAAAGGGCAATCTATAGGATGAATCTATCCTGTTCAGCTCATTTACTGAATGTTTGCTGGGATGTGCCTGAATCGCAGAGCTCTATCATTAATAACATGTTGAAACCTTTCAGTGAAGATTCAGTTGACTGTTTTGCACAGTTTCATTATCTGACACCATGAAAAACTTATTCAAGTACATGTACTGTTAAACACTGATTTCATTTGTCTGCCTTTGCATTTCAACTTTGAGAAAAAAAATAAGGATTAACATTTTGTTACTGAAATGAAATTACCTCCACTTCCATCATTTCAGATGAGGAGGAGTCAGATCTTTCTTCCTCATCATCTGAAGCAAACACTACTCTTCTCTTTTTAACAATGGAGTTTCCGCTTTCCTTCAGAATGCTTCGCTGTGGAGTTTTCAGCACAGATGAAATAGGAGTGACTGCCTTGTTAGCATTTGGGCTTGGTCTTTTTAATACATTTTCCTTCTTCTGAATGGGGGTATACTTTGGTGTAGTGTGCTAAATGGGTAAAATTAAATGTAAAATTATCCCAGTGTTGGATTAAGCAATAAATTAATCTTTGACTTCAAGATTACTGTACTTCAGACGTTCAGCTCTAAGAACTAAATGTAACATTCAAGTGGTTTTATCCCTGACTTTTTACCTCTTTACTAAGTGGGGGAACTTTAGGTGTCATTCTTGTTTTGTTGTTGAGTTTACTTGAACCTCTGTCTTCCTCTGATATATCCTGTATCTTTGGTGTCATTAGAACATTCTCTTTTACGCTCTGATTAATATTTGCCTTTTTCTTTAGTTTTAATGATGTATTGCACTCTCTCTTTTCTACTTTCAAGTCATTCATCTTGGTCATTAGTTCCTGAATCTCTGATTCCTGTAAATTGTTCACATTTATATTCACAAGTGTTTAGAAATTACACAAGATTATTAATTCAATTTTTAAAAATTCATCGAACTGAAAATAACTATAAAGAAAAACACACAAAGACATTACCTTATCATTTAAGTCATTCTCATATCTCCTGATTTTTTCCTTGTACTCTTTGTTTTCCTTCTCAACATTACTCTGCACAATAAAGGTCATAAGCATTCATTAATGAAAAATACAAATATACACTGTGTAGAAATAATCCTCCCTTAAAAATGTTAACATGCATTTAATCATTCTGTTATATCTATTTAGAAAAAAAAAATTACCATATCCTCTTCATATGATTTTAATTTGCTCTTCACTGCATCTACTTCAGCTTGGTATTTTGAAACCAGTTCATCTTTCTGTGAGATGGAAATGATAAATATATCACGTCTTTTGATTCCATTGCGATATCATCCTGTCAAATCTCAACTAATGATATGAATAAAATTTAATAAAATTTTATTTAAAGTATGCAATTTGCATCAGTAAATACCTCTTTGATGCTTTCTTCAAATTCTGCAGCTCTAGTCTGTAGGTCTTCATTTTCACTTTGTAATTCTTTCTTTAAGGAGAAAAAAAGGAAGCTACTTAAAAAGGCTGCATGCTATGATTTCATGTCTTTCACACTACTAGCAATATGCTAGGACTTGAATATAGTACTTGACTAGTCACTGGTGTTTAAAAAATAGGGCAAATGCAGCAGCATGAGTATACAGCAGCCTAAATCTGCATGTATGCACCATTATTGCTATATATATATATATTTTAATATGAAAAAATCCCTCAAAAAATCAAACAAATGTTTCTTTACACTCACCACTTTTTCATTAGAATCAGCCAAGAGATTCTGGACCTGATCTACTTCACTTTGTAGCTCCTGTATGTGAGCATTTGTCTATTATAAATATACAAAAAAGCAAATTCAATATATTTTATAATACAATATTTTGTAAAGTACAGTTATGTCTACATATTATACCCTATAATATGGAGGTAGATATACAGTGTATGAGATAACAATTCACCTCTGATTTTGAGAGATCCTTGCTTCGACTGATTTCTTTCTTCAGTTTCTCTATTTCCTTGTCTTTGTCTCCGACAAGCTTAGCATTTGTCTGGTGAAACTTCTCCATTGTGGTCATAAGCTCTTGTACCTCATGTTCACATCTTTTCTCTGTTGTTTCTTTTTGCTTTACAATATCATCATACTGTTTCTTCATATCCTGAACCTAGACAATTGACAAAAAATTTAAATTGATGAATAATTAAAGAAAAGTAATGCAAAATTCTTTTCTGTCAGAAGCATTTTTATGATTTTTGCACAATAATTTTGCAAGTGCAAGGATGTGCATCTCAACCCAATACTAAAATTAATTACTTTTTTTACTCTTTGATTTAATACCAATGCTCAGATAAATTTTTAAAACTGAACAGATTTGACTTAAATATCATGTGCATGTAACCTTAATTCATTGCTTGAAGTCCAAGATTTTACCTCAGATTTAGCTTCTTCACACAAGTTCTTCTCTTTCTCCACACTAGCCATTAATTCCTCACACACAGACTGCAGCTCCTGTAGTTCTTGGTGACTCTTCTCCTTCTCTCCCAGCAGTTCTTCCATTTCTCTGTCCTTTGTATCAGCAGCTTTAGTCTGTGCAGTCAGTTTGGACTTAAGACTTCTGATCTAATATTTTAAAAGTAATGAGAATTTATGTAAATTGATCTTAACTGTTCTGCTTCACATTTCAGTGTTAACTTGTTCTTATGGACATACAGTTGTACCAAAATTTCTAGAAATATTCAAGAGTATTTTGATACAAGTAGTTTGAACTTTACAAAATTTAATATATCATGTCAATTGATGAAGAATTTCATGCCTCCTTCTCTAGTTCCTTTGAATGCTTATTCTTAGCAGACAGATCTTCTTTTAAACTTTTCATTTTCACAGCCAGTTTGTCTGTCTCTTTAGTCATACATTCTAATTCACCATTGAAATTCCGATCCTATTAAAACAATTAAATTCCGAATGATCACTCAAGAAATGTCTACAAACAAATATGTATGTGTACTAAATTTACTAGAGCACAAGTCTAAAACAAAGAATATTTTCAAATTCAAAAAAAAGCAATATTTTGCTTTTGCAATGGAGTTAGAGGGGATATTGTAATGCAGTAGTTGTGTGTGTGTGTGTTTGTTTGTGGGTTTGTTATGTGTCCTGTATGAAACAATAATGTCATAATTTGCATCAGGATCTTTGTCGAATGCTGCCTTGCATTGTAGATACACTCCTTGCAAGGGGATGCTCTGCCTTGCTGTGCCCTTGTTAGTATCACTGAATAATTTAATAATTTGCCAAAATAATTGTCCTTCCAAAGTTGAAGCATTTTATTTTAAAATATAGCTGTATTAGTGTTGACAATCTGAACATTCACTGAGTTAACTCATTTTGTTTAATATACATTTTTTACTTACCTATTCCTTGGTAAACACATTCGATGTACACCATGTAAAAAAAAATACCTGTTCTTCCTTCTCAGATTTCAACATTTCATTTTCTTCTAATGCTTCTTCTAGTTCTTTCTGAATATTTTCAAGTTTTTCTCTATAAAATAAAAATATGCAAACAAACAAATTCAAAAGCAAGCAAAAAAGTGTTTACATGATTCTGCTGCAATTGAGCAAAATTGTCTTTATTTGGTGGTCTCATTTCACTAAATATGCTATTCAAATTAGATAAACAGATGTAGAATTAAATTGGTACAAGTATTTCTCCAATACAGTTTTCACCACTTACTCATATTCTTTTTCAACAATTTTCAGTTTGTTTATTTGATTCTGTAAGCCTTCCTCCCTCTTTGATAGAGTCTGTATTTAGCATAAAAATAGATTCTATTATACAGAGTCATTTACATGTATATTATACATAATTTTAGGCACTGGAAGTGTTTTTTATGCTTAGTGTGCTGCAATATAATCACTCTTTTTCTTTCTTTCCCTTATTATTTTTTTTGTCAATGATTTCAGTTTGAAGGCATTGATTTTATTTTCTGCACCTACCTTGATTTCCTTTTGTAATTTATTAATGTCAGCTTTGAATTGATCGATTTCACTGTTCAGATTTTTAATCAACTCCTCATCCTCCTTGACTTTAATTTGTAGCTGCTCAATGTTTTGTCTGAAAATATATATTTTTTGTTTTATCACTACACCATCTATAATTCCATGTAGTCAATAACTATAAGGTGTAATGAAACATTTAAGAAACTTGAAAATGTTTCTTTAATTCAGTTAAACTATGGTAAAAATTATGTACATACACTCAGTCAAACCTTATTCTCTCCAAATTGATGGGACTAATGAAAAACTTAAATGTGTATATACCCAAGTATGCCAGATATCAAGGGTAAAATACTTAAAGATTAAAGTACGATTGGAAATTGATACAATTTGTTTATCAATAAAAGTTACGAAAATACTGTAAATTACACCATTAAATTTAAACGCGTTACAAAGTTATCAAATTATAATTATATATCCTGCAAGGAAAGAAAAACAGCTATTTTTGAGATATCAGTATTCAAGATACTTAAGTTTAACTGTATATAGAACAAATCATCTTATATAGAATTGTTCTTTTTTAAAGGGAATACCTTTCGTTAATGAGCTGTTGAGAAACATTTTCCAGTTCTTCAGACTGTGCTGAACAAAAATCCATCTTTTCTGCAAATGACTTCTTTATTTCTTGAAATTTTGCCTAGATAAAAAAAAAATCTTGCGTGTATATTTGTGCATAGCCACAACTCTTTAAAACTTTTAGAGTATGTTCACTTAAATTGAAACATATAAGAGAATAACTTATGAAATTTTACTCTAAAGACTTAATTAAAAGATGCATGCATGGTTATAAATAAACACCATGTGAAAACAAGTGTTGGCTACTGTAAAGGAAATGTCTGAACATTATGTAAAAAAAAATCATGAAATTCTACAAATTTCTGTACATGAATTTTTTTCTACTTAAACAAGGCTATGATCTATATTTTGTCCTTATAACAACAGAGAATAAATTAAGTTTTTCAATTCAACATTCTGGTCAAACAAGTTTGCAAACTTGTCAAATGATGTACACATGCTGACCCAATCTTTGAACTCGGTGGACTAGCTAATATTGATTACATCTAATGATTGATATGCCCAGGCCTGATTCCATTCTTACTTGTTTTTATCAGTAGTGTATTTAATTCCCTTCAATCAAGTTTATGATGATAGAGAAAATTAAAGCAGCCCATACCTCCCTTGCAAGTACTTCTTTGTTTAATTCACTGAGTTCTTCTTTGACTTTCTTGTTTTCTTCTAGAACAACTTCCAGATGATTACTAAGACTTTGCAACTCAGTCTAAATTTAAACAAAAATCAAACAAACTTATATGTATTGTTCAATTGAGATCATTATCCATGCAATCAGGTTTGGCAATGATAAAAGCATGTAGTAACACAGCATGATTAAATTTTAAAAACATTATTTTTTCACTAGGACCAATAAGTTTTGAAGTATAATTCTTACAGTGAATTTTTGCAGCATAAATTGTCATTCATTTCTAGTAGTACATACTGTATAGTACATATTTGTTATAGTGGAACAAAACATAAAACAACTCATAATGTTTCCTTGTATCAAAATTATTATATCATATTAAAAAAAATAAACTTAACAAAATTAAATGATTACATACATGTATAAAACGTATCTTCAAGGACATGATCAGAAATACATTTTAAAATGCAAGCCTTTTTTTAAGGGTTAGTATTTCTTAGAGAAAATGTTTAATAGTTTATACCTTGTGGTCCAAGTTTTCATCCTTATACTTTGACAGCTCTGTACTTAATCCTGCCATCGTAGCCTCTAAATTTGTTTTTTCAACTAAAATTTGCTCCCTTTCATGAAGAATGATGGCCTTTTAATTAATAACAATAAATAAATAAATTAGAATAATTATACACAGAAGGACCATTGTTTGAGAACAGTCATCTAGGGCTTATTACTGTAATGAAGTTGACCACCACAATTTTGCGGCACCTACAATTATTTTCACAAAATAGTGAAATTAAATTATTTGCAATCTTTTGAATTCAATTCTCACCTTTTCTTCATTTAGTCCATGAACTTTCCTTTCCATCTCACTTTTCTCCATCATCAAAATATCTAAGAATAAAAAAAAACGATTAAATATGTGCATGTAGGGGTTCATTATACAAAAAGAACTTAACACTTAAACCCAAAACTTAAGTCAATTGTAAAATCTTGCAAAATTTATGATTTATATGTTAAAAATTCCCTGCACGAAATTATTTCAACTTATTTTAAAATCAATGTAACATTGAAAGTTATTTGTAAAATTGGATTTTGGTCTTTATACAGACTTATAATGGTCTAATTAATAAGTTCTTATTGGGGTCAAATTTTCAAGGTTTGAGGAAATTATTGATTTGTAGAGATTTGATTTCGTGGTTGGAAAATACATAGTAACGCATAGGAAATTTTACATTTCCTAGGACATGGTCATAAATTGGTTGGTCTCTCCTCGAAAATTAAATCCCCATAAAGTAATGATTTCTAAGCAAAAGAAAACATAGTTTACTGAAAATAGTTTGATTTATCATGTGGTGTTGACAGGTGAATAGACAGACAATGTTTCCTGCATTTTCATCACTAAATTTAGTGAAGCTTGGGATATAACTCTAGCATCGTTCTTTATGAAGTTTGCTGAGGTAAAAAGCATACTCGATTATGAGTTAATACATACCTTTTGCGCTTTTCAAGTCCTCAACTATGTGTTCCATTTTTTGCAGTGCTGTTTCAAGTTCAGACACTCTGTGTTAAAATAATGTATTTATACATACAGATTTTGTATTTACATACAGATTTTTAAAGTACAAATACTCAAAAAAATTTAAACAAATATTTTTTTTTTTTCTGTTACTACATGTATCTCTGTTATAATCAAAGTTTTATTCATTCATTTATATTTCTTGGTTGTAATTAAAGCACAATATATCAATTTTGACTAATTACCTTGACTTCTCATTACCAAGTGTACAGTTCAAATTTTCAAGGTGACCTCTGAGACTATTGACTTCCTCAGTATAAGAAGATCTGTTGGTTTCAAATTCTGCCTTCAGTAGCAAATGGTCATTCTGGCTTTCCTCTAATGAATTGCTTGTCTTGGTAAGTTTCTCCTCCAATTTCCCATAGTCATCCTGTGCACAAAAGAAAATAAATAATAAAAAAGTTCACTTTTAAAAAGAATCCTCAAAATATTATCATACATTTGTATAAAGTTAAAGACTGCAGCAGTGAAGTGGAATTATTTCACTGCATGAACTTGTGTATTTATAAAAATTAACCAATCTGAATCAATTTTCATTATTGAAGTAAATTAACCATTATTTTCTTCAGTTTCTCTTCAGATTCTGTCAGACAGGTTTGCTTCTGCTTCAAGTCACTCTGTAAATTCCCAATCTCACTTTGCAGCTCATCTGAGATTAGAAAAAATATATACAAACCTTAGAGCCTGAAAGCTAAATGTGATGTATCTTTAGCATTGCACAAAAAGAAAATACAAACATGTTGCAATCTATTAATTGCCAATTTTGCATAAAATATATCATAAGTTTTTATCTAGTTAACTATATTTTCACATAACAAAATTGTTTTACTCAAAAAACTTCCGATTAAAAAAACAAGAGGCCCAGGGGCCACAGCGCTCACCTGAGCACATCGGGCTTTAATTTAACCCCCCCCCCCATTCATCATTTGAACAAACTATAATCTACACTACCTGAGGATGATTCCATATAAATATCACTAATCATAGCTTTGAAGTACTTGAAAAAAATTTTTTTAAAGGTTTCCCTATATATTCCTATGTAAAACTTGGGTCCGCGATTTTGGCCCCACCCTAGCCCCGGGGGTCATGATTTGAACAAACTTGAATCTAAACTACCTGAGGATGATTCCACATGAGTTTCATCTTTCCTGGCTCAGTGGTTCTGGAGAAGAAGATTTTTAAATATTTTTCCTATATATTCCTATGTTAAACTTCGGTCGGCCATTTTGGCCCCACCCTAGCCCCAGGGATCATGATTTGAACAAATTTGAATCTACACTACCTGAGGATGATTCCACATGAGTTTCATCTTTCATGGCCCAGTGGTTCTGGAGAAGAAGATTTTTAAAGATTTTTCCTATATATTCCTATGTAAAACTTGGGTCGGCCATTTTGGCCCCACCCTAGCCCCGGGGGTCATGATTTGAACAAATTTGAATCTACACTACCTGAGGATGATTCCACATGAGTTTCATCTTTCCTGGCTCAGTGGTTCTGGAGAAGAAGATTTTTAAATATTTTTCCTATATATTCCTATGTTAAACTTCGGTCGGCCATTTTGGCCCCACCCTAGCCCCGGGGGTCATGATTTGAACAAATTTGAATCTACACTACCTGAGGATGATTCCACATGAGTTTCATCTTTCCTGGCCCAGTGGTTCTGGAGAAGAAGATTTTTAAATATTTTTCTCGCATAATCACCAGTGTAAGATTGACTTGTCCGGTGTGAGACAGCAGTGTGAGATTTTTCTGTCTTACACTGTGTATTACTACGCCACGAAGCCAATAATTACCTGAGATATTCAAAAGTAGGTCATCGTGACGAGAACGTAAACATTCCGTCATTATATAAAGAAATTGTAACAATGTAAAAAAATATAACACATAATTAAACTGTTGTCATTTAACTTATTAATATAAACTTATTTTCATTCAAAATATTGTCGTATTTTCACTTTTTTAATGGCACTATTTTTAGATCGCGGAATGATTCTTCTTTTACGCTGTCAGATAGATAAGTTTTTTATTCCCAGTTTTTATCTTTCTGATTAATTTACACGGACTGAAAATTATTTTATCAGTTTACACTACGTGTAAACCATTTTCAGGTACGTTCTCTCCGATGGTGTATTCAGATTTTTAATTAGATGGAAAATTAAAAATATTTTTTTAGCCCCATCATGGCGACGTCATTGACAGGCCGTTACTTTGGATAAAATAATGCGAGAAAAATAATCATTCATTACATACTCGTGTGGGAATAGTGAAATTCCACCTCGGGGCCAAGATTCACGGTCTAGGACTCGGCAAAGCCTCGTCCTAGACTGTGAATCTTGTCCCCTCGGTGGAATTTCACTATCCCACACTCGTAGTAATGAATGATTCTATTATTCCTATATATTCCTTTGTTAAACTTCGGTCAGCCATTTTGGCCCCACCCTAGCCCCAGGGGTCATGATTTGAACAAATTTGAATCTACACTACCTGAGGATGATTCCACATGAGTTTCATCTTTCCTGGCCCAGTGGTTCTGGAGAAGAAGATTTTTCCTATATATTCCTATGTAAAACTTCGGTCGGCCATTTTGGCCCCACCCTAGCCCCAGGGGTCATGATTTGAACAAACTGGAATCTACACTACCTGAGGATGATTCCACATGAGTTCCATCTTTCCTGGCCCAGTGGTTCTTAAGAAGAAGATTTTTTAAAAATGCCATTAATTTCTCTCTAATTCATAATTATCTCCCCTTGGAAAAGGGCGTAGCCCTTTATTTGAACAAACTTGAATCCCCTTCACCCAAGGATACTTTGTGCCAAGTTTGATTGAAATTGGCCCAGCGGTTCTTGAGAAGAAGTCGAAAATGTGAAAAGTTTACAACGACGACAACAACAACGACAACGACTACAACGACGACAGACAACGGACAAATTTTGATCAGAAAAGCTCACTTGAGCCTTCGGCTCAGGTGAGCTAAAAATCAGATGCTTATCAATAATTAAGAATTAATCTGACCCACTGTTGCTTTAATCTCTTTTAGAGGATACCTATAACAGAGTTCATCTTGTGTATTTCATCCTCATTCTTGCAGAGTTCAGCCCTAACATCTCGAATCTCTAGGTCTTTCTCATCACACAATTTCTCCAAATCATTCAACTGCATAATAGATAAAACAGTGCATTAATTCTTTTCATAAATTGAAAAAATACATAAATATTTTCTATGCTTTGTGTGTTTCTCTCTAGCAAACAGTATTGATGTATAAGCCCATAATTACAGTGGACCCTCATTTATCCGGACACTCTGGTTCCCAGTCAATTTGTCCGGATATGTGAAGCATCCGGATATCTGAAGCACCAGTTAAACAAGACAAAATAACTTTTAAAAATTTCGTTCCGATGAAAAATCGTCCGGATACTGAAGCATCCGGATATCTGGCGTCCGGATATCTGAGGGTTCACTGTATATGCAATTATTAAAAACAAGAGGCCCATGGGCCACATCGTACACCTGATTAACTTTGGTGATGCAGTTTTTTTACCAGATTTCCCCTATTTTAAATCTATAGTGTGCCACCCCCTCATCTTGATTTTGATAATTAAGAATCTACACTACCCCAGGATGCTTCCATATAAATGTAAGTTTTTATAGCCCAGTGGTTCTTGAGAATAAGATTTTTAAATATCAAAAACTTCCCTATTTTTGCCCTGCCATACCCCCTGGGGGATCATGATTTTCACAATTTAGAATCTACACTATCCAAAAATGCTTCTATATAAGTGTCAGCTTTTATAGTTCAGTGGTTCTTGTGAAGAAGATTTTTTAAAGGTTCTTTTTCCTGAATATTTCAATGTAAAATTTTGATTCCCCTTTTGTGGCCCCACCCTATCCCTGGGGGTCATGATTTTTATAATTTAATTAAAATCCACACTACTCAGGATACTCCCACATAAATTTCAGCTTTAATGGCCCAGTGGTTCTTGAGAAGATTTTTAAAGTTTTTTTCTATGTAAAACTTGGATTCCCTATTGTTGCCCCGCCCTACCCCTGGGGATCATGGTTCACAAAATTTAGAATCTACACTACCATAGGATGCTTCCACGAAAGTTTAAGCTTTTATGGCCCAGTGGTTCTTGAGGATACATGTAAGATTTTTTAATGACCCCACCCTATTTTTGTCTTTTCTTGATTATCTCCCCTTTGGAAGGTATCTTGGCCCTTAAATTCATTTTAACAATTAAAACTCCCCATCACCCAAGTATACTTTGTACCAAGTTTGGTTAAAATTGGCCAAGTGGTTCTTGAGAAGAAGTTGAACATGAGAAAAGTTTACAAACTGACGGACGGACAGAGGGATAGATGCCGGATGATCAGAAAAGCTCACTTGAGTTTTCAGCTCAGGTGAACTAAAAATGTCAAGATTCATAGATCAAATAAATTTGCTTACAGTAGTTTTCATTTCTTCCTTGTGATTTTTCAGTTCTTTTTGCAGTTCCTCGCCTTTCTTTAATTCTGCTGTCACTTCATAAATTGGCAATGAAAATTAAATAAATAATTTGGAATTTTTACAAGTACCGGTAATCATAAAAATCTCAACTGTCCATAGAATTGTTTCCTGTCAATTTTATGCAGTACACATATCTGTGCAGTCAATAGACCTTTATTGAGCAACCCATCTAAGGAAATGCTATATTCATTGCTATATATTTGCATGAATATTTAGTTAAACTTTGTAAATAGGGCATTTACAACTTACATTTTTCCGTCAAATCTTCCTTCTCTTTCTTTGATGTTATATCAAGACTTGTAAACTTTTCTGATAACTCCTACAAAATGAAATAAGTGGATTAAAAATATTGAAAAAATCATCACACTCAATTGAAATTTAAGTGCCAGCATTAAAATTAGGGGAGGTCAACATTACCGCTATACTGCCAAAAATTTCAAGTCATTATCGCTACATTTTTTCATATTTTCGACCGATCATTACCGCTACATTTTTCCGGCCAAAAACAACTCTTTACCGCTACATATTGAATCAGCCCAAAACAACTCATTACCGCTACATATCGATTTAGCCAGGTATGGTTCGGTACATGAGTTCAACAGAATTCACTCAGATCCCCACTGAGAACTGCTGATAACGAATAGCATCATCACTTGCCGATTTGTGGACGGTGAATTACAGGAGGGGGTTTTAACCAGTATACTGCTAATGTTACTGACGGGTATGAGTCAGGTGTTTGTCGGGTATTTGAAATTTTTTAAAAAAATGCAAAGAAAACCTTGTACGTCATTGGGAGAAGTTAGTTTTGATGTGGTACAAGAGAAGGAGAAAAATTGACCAGGATTTAGAAAACAACAATATGTCAGCAAATGGCTTTCAAGGCTTTAGCGATAGTGTAAAAACATTTGACAAAACTTAAAATTTTATCTATGAACAGTGCTTGAGTTTAATTTTTTTGTGTGTATTATGACATAAAATTAATTTTAATGATAAAAATACATCCTGCTTAAAGTCCTACTTTCACCTCCCCGTGGTGAGCAGGGGAAATGGGTCTTATGCATTTATAGGTTGTACTGTACATATCTGGCTGGCTAACGAAAGAGGCAATCACTTTTATATGTAGCGGTAATGTAACGTTTTTTGTAGCGGTAATGACTATGTAGCGGTAATGAAAATTTTGAAAATGTAGCGGTAATGATACGCACCCAAAATTAGGCCATTTCATGAAGTAATCTAAATCAGCCCCTGGATATTAATTTAAATAATCTGACTCACATAATTAAGAATTAATTGCTTCAAAAATGAACCAAAATCTATTTCTCATACCTCAAACTGCTTAACATGTTGTTTCTCAATATATTTCAGCTCGGTGCGCTCTGTTTCACCTTTAAAATGAAAAGAAAATGCAAATGATATAGCTACATGTATACTGCATTTAATATTTTGATGTTTTTTTTTAATTTGCAACAGTAATTGATAAATGGCTATTCATTCATTTGCAATGGATTCCTAAACAATCATGCATCTACTGTGTCATCATGTCCTTTCTATTAATGGTCTTAAAAACATACATTTTTGCAGTCTTTCCTCTGTATCAGCAGAGTGGTCTTTCAAAAGATTACACATGTCTCTTGTAGCATTTATTCTGAAATTGATACAATGGATAAAATGATGCATCACATAATGTTACATAATTATATGTATACATTATGAAATAATAACATTTACACTTAAAGTAAAACCCATTCTAGAATGCACATACATATATATGTTACAATGTACATATTATACTTATACGTGCTTTAATTTTAAAGGAACTGAATTCAAATATTGATTAAGTTTATATTAATTATAATTACATGTACTACATAATTTATCATTGGCCAAGAAAGTACTCCCTTTCATGCTTTAAATACCTATGAAGAATTTCCTCCCTGCTGGTTATCTCTTCTTGAAGACGCAGACTGAGGCTTTCATTTTGAAGCTGTGCAGAAGGAAAGATCACAAGATAAATATTTAATGTGATAATATTGTATGATAATTTTGTATGATAATTTTAACATAAATATGTACAAAGCATCAATATATTTTCTAATACATGTACAAACACATTTTTCAAAAAAAGTTTTAATTTTAGTACCTGAAGCTCAAGAATAGATTTCCTCAGGCTTTCAATGGTGTGAGTAGATTCTTTTATTTTCTTGTCCTTTAGAAATAAGAAAATGAAAAGTTAATCAAATTTGGAAGTATGTGTATTTAGAAAGAACAGATCGATTTAAAGATGCTCATAACTTTCAATCACTCCAACACTAAATTGAATGATCTGGAAAAAAATTGTTTTAAAAAAATAGTCTGAGATCTTGCCTAGAGTTGCATTAAACGAATCAAAGTGATTTTTCTAAAAAAAATAAATATACTAAATTTTGAAAAATTTGAACACAGCTTAATTGTCATCTTATAAGTAACTGATTGTGACAGTAAAATTAGATAAGATTTAGAACCTATGCAGACAATTATATATTACCTTTTGCTTGATTTCGATTTCAGTTTGGACTTTCCATTTCCTAATACGATCTGCCTCATGCTGCAGTTTCACATGTAAAGAAGATATTCTCTCATTGCCTTGGGTCTGTTCTTGTTGTTGTGAAATAACTTGGTTTTGTTCATTCTCTGAAAGCAGGAATGCAAAATATATTTACTTATAATGTATTTAAAATGTATGCAGGGCCCGGCAAATAATTTGATATTATATACCCAATGTGTATGACGTCAAATTTTTGTACTGACTTTCCGAATCACCACACTGTGGTTTTTGGAATCCATATCACATAGAAACATACCCTTTTCTCAAACTGATTTCAGCTGTAGTTCACAATGTATGTCAGACTCAGCATCCAAAGCTATAGTCTGGAAGAGTCCATCAATACTAGATAAACCAATGCAAATTTGGTTAAAGTATAACATGGCAAAGATACACTCATCTGGAAAATGTAAGGTCACATTTAGCATCCAAAGCAAGTTCTGTAGTGTCCATCCCTAGATGCATCATCGGGATGCCAGTTTGGTTCAGTGATCTGAAAACTTTAACCTGATGACTCGTCTGGAAAACATTAATCTGGAGAAGTCTGGTGGTGTCCATCCTTAACGCATCATCCATGAAAGTTTGGGCAAGGTATTAGGACCTGCATGCTCTTAAAATTTTTAACGGTATGTCAAAACTAAAATGCTGACAGGGTATAGCATTTTATCCTGCCTCTGATAAAAATCTAGAAATTTCATTGGCTGAGAGCGATACTGTATTAAACGATGTTATGCTGTCTATATACCCACCACATAACATTAATTGCTAATGTGCCCCCTCGGCGTTACCTACCCACCATATATTAAAATTAACTAACCACATATCATCAATAAACTGCTTTCACATGACCCACATAAAGCTTCATAACTGACGTCACAAAGCGTCAGACAACAACAATGGATGCGGAACGATTTGCTTCCCTCAGTATATATCAATACTATAAACATGATAAATATCTAGTCTTTTAGAGAAACATCGGCAGGATAAATTCGTTATGTAGACACTTAGAGGTGTAATACAGAAATATGTGGGGGCCTTGAAAAAATCCATATTGGACACGGCTTACTCCTTGCCCAAAATGGATTTTTTCAAGGACCCCACATATATCCGTATTATACCTCCAAGTGTCTATACATAACTAATAATATCAAGCTCCTCTCGGCATTGCCGAGGTGAGCTACAAATTACACATTATTTCACTACACTGACTCCTAATCAACAAACTCAGTATCATGCATATGAACATATATAATGACTTAAATTTCAACTTTTTTCAACGACAAGTACAGTTAATTTGATGATAGACAGTTATATTTACCATATTGTCAAGCTACAACAAAGTAGCTACAATAGTGTAGTCCCCCCCCCCTCCTTCTCTGTTTATGGGGGAGGGGGATATCAGATTTTTTTTAAAATTGGAGAGAGCTGCACAATTATTGGCACATTATTGCAGCTGTAACAAAAACATTAGTTGCACAGCCTTACATCTGCCATTCATATTCATTTGTTATCAGTAATCCTTAGAAACAAATTTTCATTTCATTAATCTTTTCAATTTTGAAAAAAATTCCCTTTTTTAATTTTTTGTAGCCCCATGCATGCATTTAAGCCTCAGATCTAAGCTTTCAGTACCGGTAATTCTGGAGAATTAGTAAGGCTACTACTAGTTATTACTGTTGAACCCCGTAAGAAATATAAAATAATTCATATTATACATATAAACAATGTACCTCTTGCTTTACTGGTCTGAAATTGTGCAGAGTTTTGCTGGAATTTTGGCCGTACTTGCATCTGAGGTGCCGAGGAACATGATGAAGTCTTTAAAAAATTAAATTCCCACAATATTAATAATTATAATTTTACAAAAACTGAATAGTACATTTCAATACTGCAAAACAATGTATATATATATCAGTATAGAATATGCCCAGAATGAATCTCATCTTTAACAGGTTGGGAACACATCCCCTTTAGCGAGATTATCTCGCTAAAGCGCGATTATTCCTCTTTAGCGGAAGAAAAAACATTACCATATACGGTAATTTTGTTGTTTTCGTTATAAAATAATCAAAAATCTCGTGCGTATTGAAAATCCGGGAGAAAGCTGCATTGAAGTGTGATTTTACTACAAAAAACTGATATTACTGGCTAGAAATTTAAGACAATCACTGCTGCGTGTGATTATAAGAGGCTGAAATTCACGTGAAAATCGTGCCTTTTTTAGCGAAGGTTTCAAGATTTACAGCCATATATGTTTTTAAAGCATTTAAAATATGTATAGATATCTAAATTACATTCGTTAGGGTCTTAGTTTTCCATTCTTGTAAAAAAATTAAAAATAACGCTCTTCGGAAACCCATGATATTTGCTTAAATATTTGATCTTTGGTTGACGCTAAGAAGTACGGTAGCACAAGAGGGTTGTAAAGTTTGTGGAAAAGTAATGATTTTTTTTAAAAAAAAGTATAAATTGAGATATGTACAGAATAGTGATAAACTATTAATTTAATAGAATATTGAAAAGCAAATTAATAAAAAAAAAAAGGTAAAGATCAAATATATATCAAGTATACTACGTCAATATCGGTTATATAGACGCAATATAAATATATTGAGTCTTTATAACCGATATTGACGTACTAGTATAAATGTTGATACATGGTAAACGTAAATTCAGGAAATCATGATTCAACAGCGTTGGAAGCAAATTGGTAAAAGGGGGGGGGGGCTAATTCAAAGATAAAAAAATCAACTTGAAAAAAAAACTTGACAAAAAAGAGGATAATTTGACCATTGACTGTTTTTCATTTACCACTTACCCTTCTTTTCATTAATACTGAAATGTACCTGTGGAAAGTGAAACAACATGTTACCTTGAATTACTTTTCATAACTATACAAAATTAGAGAACACAAAAATGCGAAATTGCATTGTTAAAATTACTGCTTTTAACGTGCTGTTATAATTTACAGAAGTATGCCTTAGGTATTCGTACTTTAATGAAATAAATTCTTATGTTTAATTTACCGGTGGCGATGAACAGTTCCTCATTTGAGGACCCTTTAATTGCGTTGGAAACATATGTTGGGATCCTGCATATGTTGATGTGTAAATTTTAATAGGGAATCAGATACTTTCCAAAACAAAGGCTACATGAAAGAAGACAGACCAGGTGGCATTTTTTATTTTAAGGGGGGGGGGGGGGGCTTCTGAAAAATTTGCCCCAAAAATTTCAATAAAATAAAAAAAAGCTAAAAGTGTAACGTTAGATTGTTTATTGTTAAAAGCGGAGTCAGCAAAATTTCAGCCGTATTTTGGCGGCGGATGCATACTGCTATTAGGTATGCTTTATCTTGAAAGAATATCTACGAACACTGCATGGAATACTTCGAATTTTACATTTTATTATGCCTTGTAATTGTTTTTTTGAGTTAATAAGAGATGCTATTGTCACCTTTTTATATAAGCGATGATCTACCGTTTATGAATAGCTTCCTTATTATATTTAGAAGCTTCTTTAATTGATCACCGATAAGACTCTTTCAGTTAAAATGGTTGTTATTTGAAAATGGTTAAACGTCGATAGCTTTTACCACGCCTGATTAAAATCTTGGTATATTATACATTTAAAGAAATCTAGTCGCACAACCTACCTACAGTATTTTTTCCTAGTACCCCCCCCCCCACCTGACCGTCCATCTACATCTCCATTTTTAGCCGTCTAAAATAACACGTTTCTAATTTAACTTGCAAAGTTTGAGACAGTGCAATAGTATAGGGTAAAATAATTTTTAGGGTTGATTAATTTATGTAGGACAAGAATTCAAAACAGACATTGAACGTTTATCTTTTTTTATTTCACGGGTAAACTATACAGAAGCATTAATATAATCTGTTAGAAGATCCTGGAAACTGACAAATGTAGCGAAGAACCAATGAGGGCGCTTCTTACAGTAATAAGGTGGGGCTTAATATCAGTCAATCAGGCGATTTGAGAATCTATGTCCACCAAACAGACTTCGTGTCGAGATCGCCATGCCCTACGGAAAGTCCAAATTAAGTGACGGACTCCATCACTTCATCATTCTGTATACAACCCCGCTTTTCAAGCAGGCGTACTAAAAAAAATAATAAGGTAAACGTACAATTACAATAACCGTATAACCGGAGTAAGTTTATTTGTACTGATAATTATCACATGTGGGCCTCCGTAGGAAGGCTACGCTATTGTTCACAAACTTATTTTGATTTCCATGATTTGCAGCAGTAGAGGCAATATTTTGAAGCAAATTTATTGAGATGAGACAATAAATATTTATCGAATGGGTTGACTTGCTTCCGGATTTTCCTTTTTCAGAAGTTAACACGATTACAGTTTGAATCGGAGTACAAATCTCGATTTTCCGAGATGTATTTTCTCCCGCTAGAGAGGGATAATCGCGCTTTAGTGAGATGATCTCGTTAAAGGGGATTTGTTCCCAACCTGTTTAATGCTGTCAGATTAACTAATTTGTCAGTCAAGAACTATTAGAGATGGACCATGGTATAGACAAAGTTATTGACGGTATAAATATGATTTTACCTCATAATGGTTATTCGTATTTATATTCTGTTCACTGAATGATAACGGTTTAAAAAAGGGTTGCTGCTTTTCTCTCATCTGTTGCATTTTGACTGCTGTGCAATGATCTTTCACTTCATAAAGGATTTTCTGACTTGTGTTAAAAATATAAAACTGGAGAAAAAGAAAAAATATCACAGTAAATATTATAAACCATAGTGAGTGCGTTCAAATCTTACTTAGATATCGAAATACACATGAAAGTGAAGCACTGGTTGTAAATAATCACATCTCACCTCCCATCGTCTGCTAATTAGCTTTCGGAAGATCTCGTGCTGCGTCCCGAAAGTCTACAGAGCAGTCTAAAAGTAGTTAGGCGTAAGCGTTCCTCCTGTATATTAGCTTTTTTTCTATATAATTATTTGAAATTCTAAATTCTTGAAAACTTTCAATGATTTTAATTTAATTTAAAACCTTAAGTCTTCAAAACATTTATTTCTACCAGAAAGAGTCTTCAATTCAACAAGTGAACAAACTAAAATTTAGAAAATATTTAGCGCAGCTCTGTAGAAAGAACCAGAAAGCGCCACCTAGCAGACCGGAAGTGAAACATAATCCATGAAAATGAAAACAACGGAGTGTCATTGTCGAAATCTTAAGTTACTGAATGTTATTATGTTACATGATTGTTAATTGAAAACCATGTTTTTCATTTGAGTCAACATAATGTCGAGTCAAATGTCTGCGATGCGATTCGCAGACTATTTCGTTGTGTGTGGACTGGATACAACCACGGGGTTAGAACCAGATCAGTTGGCAGGTGCTTGAAATATTATTTTATCTTTTGAAAGTTTAATAGAACTAGGATGAAATTAAAAATGTAACTATCCTTTAGAAAACAAAGAAAAGATGTCTTTTTACCCTGTCAAATTAAATTAGGGGACGAAAACCGATTTCAACGGGTTTTTATGTTTCCAGTAAGCCTATAACAGGTTGGGACCAATTGCCCAAATGGGATATAATAGTCCGTTTGGGATATAATATCCCAAATGGGCTATAAATTTACAGTGCAAAAATTGAAAATTTTTATTTTGGAAATAAATATCATAAATCCGCATCAGGACACTTAAAAAGGAATTACTTTTGGTTGACAAGTTTTCCTCTATGCCTATTGTTTAGGAGATTGATCCCTTGGAAATTCCTTAACTTCTTGGGGATCGATCTTACAAACGGTAGGGTTGCAGAAAAACGTGCTTACCAAAAGTTATTCTTTTTAAAGTGCTTTGATGCGGATTTATGATATTTATTGCAAAAATAAAAATTTTCAATTTTTGCACTGTAAATTTATAGCCCATTTGGGATATTATATCCCAAACAGACTATTATATCCCATTTGGGCGATTGGTCCCAACCTGTATAATATTTGTGGTGAGTGCATGTGTTACATGAGCTGAATTATGTATATATAATTTCATTATATATCTTATTTCCCTTAGGAGATAACTTACAGTGTCCACCTCTTGACCGTCCGTTTAAATCAAAAGTATTACAACATGTTCCAGACAACGTTCCATGGAATCCATTTGATAATGCAGCAGTCGGAATGGTATGAACATTTCTCATCATTGTGTAACTCTTGTTCAATTGAAATAAGGATAGATCCTGGAAATCATCTTTCCAAGTCAAGGGTTTCTGATCCACTCTGCTACACATAAACCTTTGACCAAACAGACTAAGTTTGACAGGGGTTACTTACACTATCACACCATCTAGTGAGATTACACATTTTGAACTCTACTGACCTCTGCTATAGGCCAATTAGAGTAAATGAATTCAACAGAAATTCAAGATAATATTGGAAGTCGGTAATAAATTCAAGATAACTCAACTGAAAAGCTGAGACAAACCTTAAACTGGACTATTTAATGATAAAGACATTATCCTTAGGACTATAACTGGCATGTTAACTTTTCTGTTCAGGTTAAATTAAACAATGATTTTGATAGGATCATGCAAACTTGCACAAGGCCAATCAAAGAGCGACTTTCTAACCGCATCAATCTTAGTCTATTCGGTCAAGGGTTTATGTGGAGCGTAGTTGATCGGAAAACCTTGGCTTGGGAAGATGCATGGAAATGAATGTTTCTTATGGAATGTATAATCTTGTCTACCAGTGTATTTCTCACAACATGAACCTTAATATATGGTATAGCGGGTTATTTTAGCGGGGTGCTACTTTTGGCTTATTTTGGCGTTTTGATGGTAGCCCACTAAAATTTTAATCGCTAAAATATTCAGTACTTTTCTTGGTGTTCATCCGCAAAGAGCTGCAATAATGTAGCCCTCTCCGATTTTTTTTTTTTCTTTTTTTAGGAGAGGGCTACAACTCCTTAGGATCTCCGTAATGGTGCAAAGCGGGAGCGATTCGCTCCCGCATGGATTTCGGCTCAAATTGTCAGTAAACGGCTCTTTTATTTATATGTCTTACCTGGACTTCCAAAATGTAATTATCCCAGACTTAAATCGATCCAAAAATATACAGAACAATCCATATACATGTATCAGTATTTTTCATTTTTTATTTTTTTATGTCAACATCAAAACTTAAATTTATCTACCATGTTTACTGACCTTGACAGATTTTATTTTGGCACAGCCAATGAGATTAAGGATCTATAGGGAGCAGATTTCTTTGGAATTACCTTATTTTAAGCATACATATCGCTGTTTGCGTAAAACTAACTCTTGAAATGGTTTTATTTATCGATGTTTTTGTGATAAATTTCAGCACAGTCGTTTATAAACATTGATATTTGCTGTATTTAGTTGTTCTTAATTTCAAGCGAAAGTCTCAGTACGTCACACGTGAACTGTCATGGCTGCTGAATATTGCGACTTGCAAGACACAGATTTATTTTACATGGTTTTCGAGTTTAACAGGCTATGTTGCTGACAGTGAATAAAAATTCTGTCTTATAAGAAGTAAGTTGAACATGTTGAATGTAAAAATAATTTATTTTGCCTTCAATCGCCCCTATTTAAAAAATATATTTGCACCATTACGGAGATGCGATGGAATTGTAGCCCTCTCCAGAAAACATCAGATTAAAAATAATCGGAGAGGGGCTACATTATTGCAGCTAATCCGCAAAGAGCTGAGACCTTGTGTCTGCTAAAATAAATAATGCCAAAACTATTGGCATACCTATGACCAGGAAAAATGCCAAATTTTACAGTAATTTTGTCTTTTGATATGCATGTATGGTAAGTTTTACTAATCGTGCATGTTTCCTATTTCTAAGATCTGGGCCATGTTTAAGATAATGGAAATAAATATGGTATTGTGATGAAGTGATCTACGCCTGAATTTAAATTTGTTTTTCAGCTCTGCATGCCACAAGGCCTCAGCTTTTGCACCCAGAGGGAATCAAAACGAGCAAGATTTCACTCCTTTTTGATAACGAAGGAAGATGGATCTCGAATATTTGGATCGGCCTTGACCTTTTATGAAGAGGTCAGGGACAGAAAGATATGCGCTGCCATGCAGACCCTGCAACACATGTACCGAGCACAACCAGAAGAAGAAGTCGAGGAAGAGAACCAGTCAACTCTACAACTACGGCACAGTCCAAAAGTCACTAAAAGATCTAGTCCCAGACAGAGCATAAAAGTCTTTGATTCACAAACTGACACGCTTTTTGTAACCAAGTGTCTCTGTCTCATTACCCAGTATCCATTTGTTACGGCCCTTAGGGAATATCTAAAACAGCTGTATGAAGCTGTAGAGAAACCATCTAAGTCACATCTGCCGTTAGAGAGCTATATTTATAACATTCTGACAGAAGTCCCTCTCCCACCCCCAGGACGAAGCATGAAGTTTTATGGTGTCTCCAGGGCGGTCTTTACCCAGAGACCAAGTAAGTATATATAACGAGTCGATATTAAAAAGTCCTTGTGGCTAACCATATAATATCCAAAAAAAATATTTTGTATGTCATTAGTAAGAAATACAATTAATATTCTTAAAATTGCTTATATATGAACGATATTATTGGGAATCACATTTCATACTGTGTATAACTTTTTATCGTATTATTTATTATCATATTATCTATAGAATGTGTTTTTAACTGAGTCACTTGCATTGCATTTATGGAATTTATATTAAAGAAATAAACATTACACCAGATACATGTACAGACTCTGTTAGAAGTACCTATTGATTTTTAAAAAAATCCATGTTGTTTTTAAACAATAACTGTATTATTCCCATATTTGTACAGTTTCTATTACAACAATTACAAATGGTATGAATATATTTAGAATATTGGTTAAGGCTAACTTCTAAATCAACATAATAGATTTTAATATTCAGCTGGGAATTGGTTTTATTAGCTGGCTATATGTATATTCTAAGGGCTCCTGATTCTGTGGGATATGTCTTTTAGAAGCATAGATATTTTGTGTAGAAAGTTACCCCTAAAAATTGGCCATTTGCTTAAAAGTAGTTTGTACTACTCAATGATGGAGATATAAGTCATTGAAATTGCTCTTTAGTCAATTGTGATCCCGAGTGCCATCTTTTATGCAAAAAAAAAATTTACTCATTGTTAATTTATATAGTATTTTGTTTTTGTTTTAAAAAAAAGAGGTACAATTCATTCCCAACTTTCTTCCTTCCATGAAAATTACCAATTGAAAATTAGTACATGTACCATGTATAACTGTAGGAAATATAGCTAAAAATGTATATTACCTCATACTTCTTGTTAATATCTTTTCTATATTTCCTTGAAAATTTTCCCTATTAAATATTTATTGACAAGATCATGAAGATAACCTTTAATTTAGTTTATTCAAGTAAACATTTAAGATTTATGCATGACTTACAATTGAGAAATCATGTTTTCACAAATTAACACTGTTAATGAGATTAACTTGTATTTGCTGCAAAAGTTTATATATATGCTATACATGTATGTCATTTCGTATGTTCTGTTATGTTCACTAACCTTAATATTAATACTTATTTCTAACAAGTGGACTGGAGGGAGGTAAAAGGTAGAGCAGACTGTTGTATTATCTTGGTGTTTGATTTACCTCCCTTTTATTTATAAATGAATATATTATATCCATGACAAAGGGGGATATTTGTGTATAAAATTATACTGAATGAAGTGCATGCTTTAAGAGTGCTACATGTAGCATTTCTGTATGTATAGAAAGGTGCTTAAAGGCTTTAATGTATATTTGAGGGTAGTGGTTTACAAATCTATAAACATTCACATAAGTGTATGTACTTATGTGAATGTTTATAGATGTGTATATGTACTTGTGTGATTATCCTCAGGTAATTATCTTCCTTTCTCTGATTTTTTATACCCCCCGCAAACGAAGTTTGGGGGGGTATATAGGAATCACCTTGTCCGTCTGTCCGTCTGTCCGTCTGTCTGTCCGTCCGTCTGTCCGTCTGTCTGTCTGTCCGTCTGTCTGTGCAATCGTGTCCGGTCCATATCTTTCTTACAGAGGGACATTAGAATCTACTACTCCACATTAAGATTGCTCATAACCTAAGGGTGTGTCATGACCTTGATCCAAGGTCATTTGGGGAAGTTCAAGGTCACTGGAAGAAAAATTTCGAAATTCGTGTCCGGTCCATATCTTTCTTATGGATAAACTTGGTAGGTTCTCATTTCACACAAAGATTGCCCATGACCCAAGAGTGTGTCATGACCTTGACCCAAGGTCATTTGGGGAAGTTCAAGGTCACTGGGAGAAAAATTTCAAAATTCATGTTTGACACATATCTTTTATGGATAAGCTTGGTAGGTTCTCATTTCACACAAAGATTGCCCATGACCCAAGGGTGTGTCATGACCTTGACCCAAGGTCATTTGGGGAAGTTCAAGGTCACTGGAAGAAAAATTTCATAATTCGTGTCCGGTCTATATCTTTCTTATGGATAAACTTGGTAGGTTTTCATTTCACATAAAGATTGCCCATGACCCAAGGGTGTGTCATGACCTTGACCCAAGGTCATTTGGGGAAGTTCAAGGTCACTGGTAGAAAAATTTAATAATTCGTGTCCGGTCCATATCTTTCTTAAGGATAAACTTGGTAGGTTTTCATTTCATACAAAGATTACCCATGACCCAAGGGTGTGTCATGACCTTGACCCAAGGTCATGTGGGGAAGTTCAAGGTCACTGGAAGAAAAATTTAATAATTCGTGTCCGGTCCATATCTTTCTTATGGATAAACTTGGTAGGTTCTTATTTCACTCAAAGATTGCCCATGACCCAAGGGTGTGTCATGACCTTGACCCAAGGTCATTTGGGGAAGTTCAAGGTCACTGGAAGAAAAATTTTATAATTCGTGTTTGATACATATCTTTATTATACAAAAACTTACTTCTGAAAAACCCAGCGGGGGGTATTTTGTCCCGATTGGACAGTTCTAGTTTAAAATTATTTTATTCTTATTTCAGTATGTATCTCTGTTGTGAAACTTGTTATATTTATTTCTAAATATCAGAAGACAGCTCAATGTTTGATCATGTTAATAAATATTTTTTTTTTTTGTAGTATTGCACTATATGATTTCTTGATATGTTTAAAACATCTAACATTTCATCATGTTCATCTACTTGTAGCAAATTTAATGTTTGTCCCCCAGTAAAGAATGTTGGGATTTAAAACTGCATTTTTATATACTTATCAAATAATGTGTGCTTTAACTTAATCCTAATATATACAGCTATTTATACACACTATTTATGTAAGACAGAGAAAGCATTTTGTCATAGACTATGGAGTACTGTGATGAAGTTAATCTTGAACTGATTTGATTAACAGGTGTGAGTGAGCTCCCTTTGTTTGACTTCTCTCTGTGGGACCTGTGTCGATACCTAGAAGTTAAAGATCTGATTCTTCTCTTCACCAGTGTTCTCCTAGAGCATCAAATTCTTCTGTATTCATCTGGTAAGATTATACTGATCAATCTATTAATTAATATATACAAAGTTTTATTAATTGTTGGGTATAATGGTGAGTGCAGTCTTTGAGTGATGTGCAAATTACTCAAAAAAGTTTTTTTATAACAACTTTCCTTAAAATCCTTAGTAACCCACAAACATGATAATGAATGGGTCGTTATGTTTATTATTCTTAATGTAACAAACATAATTCGAAAATGAATGTTATGAAAGGCAAATCATTTTCTAGAATAATTTTCATGTTATCGTAAAATGTGTCCCTTTTGGATGTATCCCATTCATGTTTCACACTGTTGCAATACATTTTTAAGTTAATTGATAAACTCTCCTCTCATTATGAGAATCAAGTTTCTATGTTTTAAGTAATTTATTTCTCATAAATGCATTTACATGTATATGTTCATTTAATTATACTGTGTATAATCTGTTTTTATTCGTTTATGATAATTGATCAACAGTATAAACATATTGCTTCTTTTGTACATGTTGTAGACTACCACAGACTTATGACAGTGGCAGAGTGTATCAATGTACTAACCTTCCCTTTCACCTGGCAACATGTCTACGTCCCTATATTACCCGCCTCTCTCACTCACTTTTTGGATGCCCCTGTACCATTCATTATGGGATTGCATCATGGCAGAGAAAAAAGATCTGAGCTAGCTCTGCCAAGCGAGGTAAACTAAAAGGATATCTAATCAGTATTTATAAGTGATTAGTTTATTGTATTTTCTGGCTAGGTCAACATATTAAATGGAGGTTGAAAATATCAAATTAGGTATTTAACTGTTAAACTGTATATTCAAGGAAATAGTTCACACTGCAGTGTAACAAGACAGTGCTTTACTTAAAATTGTAAAAATGAATACCATGCTTTGATTTTCCTACAGGCTAATATGTGCTTTGTGGACATTGATGAGAAAACTGTAGACATACCAGAAGATTTACCTCCCTTTCCACACCACCAGGAACTCAAAGAGGAACTTGTAAGGGCAATCAATCTATACAAAGTTTCTCTGGGTAGGGATAGCAGCAAAACCCCCAGTCCCAAAAAGACTGGCAGCAACAAAGAAGAAACCTCCATAACCCGCAACGAAAGCTGGGTTGACATGCCAGAAAAAATGGAAATATTAAAGCAAAGTGAAGCTTTTGCAAAAATATCAGCCATTGCAAAGAAAACTGGTGTATGGACCTCCATCGAAGAATTTTCTGACAAGTCCGAAAAAGAAAAAGACGTAGAAGTGAAAGATTCCTCTTCCATGGGTCAGAGACAAATAGACCATTTGAAGTTCAACAACATGATCAGAGAGATATTTCTCAACCATTTCCTGCATTTATTCAGCTCCTATGAGAAATTTGTCATCCAACCTACTCAGGACATGGACTCATGGTTGACGAACCGAGAAACCATGCAGAATTTTGACAAGGCTGCCTTCCTAAGTGACCAGCCAGAGGGTTATCTCCCTTTCATGTCCTCGTTTACAGAAACCCAGATGTTTGCCACACTGATAGATAACAAGATTTTATCTCACTTTGAGGAGACGGAGCCGGGTTTACGAGTGTTTGATTCCAGGTTAAAGATTCTCAGGGAGAGATTGGGAGAACATATAACTCACACTTACGGCCCATGTACTACTGTTGAAGATACAGGTTTGTTCATAATATAAATGGTTAAGTATATTGTCAGTTACAAAGTATCTCGAACTGGGAAAAATTTTATTTTTACATACATGGAAAGATTGTTAACAGAACATAAAGTTGACTTAAATAAATCTATGAATGCAAAGGAATCTTTAATTTTTTTTATTTTCATTACTTTGCATTAAAATGCATGTATTGTTTTTGTGCTTAAACAATGTAAGTATACTGATAATTAGAATTCCACTTTAAAATATGGGCTCTTTATACAGCATTACTTAGAAAGTGTCGATTGATTAAATGTATGTTGTAGAAAACATGCTGGAGAAGAGAGTGGTCTACATTGATGTGGTCTCCCCGAAGCCTCACACCCTGGAAAACCTCACTAGTCCTGCCTCCATTGAGATGGGCTTCTTCCCCGAGATTCAAAAGGATGTCATGAATGTCCAGATTAGTCAACAGTCGTAAGTTGTATAGGCTACAATAACTATGAAGTTAACAGTATCAGAACAAGAGATGGTTTTCCTGTTCTCTCTTAATCTGGTTAGGTAGGGAATGTATAGTAACCAGTGTTTTCCCTTTATTTCAAAGTAAAGGGTTATAGATCTGTTGTAACAAGTTAGGGGCTGAGGTTTATGAACAAAATCTATGTGGACCTTACAACATATTTTATTTCAAAGCGACATTTTTGTCAACTGAAGCGGTCAATTTGGCCGGTAGCCGGTTCTTAGGGAAAACACTGATAGTATGCTGGAAATGTTGTCATTTTGTTCTGATAGATTGCTAAGAAAGTTAAGAATGATTTTTTTAAAAATTGTCATGGATTTTTATTAATATCAGCTATCCATTAAATAATCTTTGTTATGGCTTTTGAAATTTGATTTGAGTTACTGTAGTCAAGTAAGTCAACATAAAATGGGCATCAGTGTTTTTTTCATTCTGTTTTTAAATTTGAGTACCTGTACATTTTATGATTTGCTTTATGAATGGTTTTTTTTTTTCAGAATAAAAAGGGAAGGTGCTATGTTGAGAAAAAGGGACAAAGCTTTCCAACATTCTGAACACATACAGCTGACATCAGAACAGAGAGAGGTGTAGTTTTGATACATCAAATCAGAATGAATTATTTAAGACATGCATGAATTTGCAGATTCTCAGATTTTGTTTGTTCCATAAATATATATCTTTGCTGAAACTATTCCACAAATATATGCTTAAAATAAGGATATTTTTTAACATTTTATGACATATTCTGATACCTACTTTAATAATGGGATAAGTATTTGCCTTAAACATTCAAGATCTACAATTTTTAATTTTAACTTCTGCATGTTCTTTGTAAAATACATGTATATCCATGAATTTAAACTGTCAAATGTATGATAGTTTCCTCAGTCTATACTTATGTTTTACAGAAGTACATCCAGGATGCCCGACTAAAGCATGTCAGACAACCCAAACTGACCGACATGTCTGCAGCAGGAATGATGCAGACAAACTGGAAATTTGTAGAGACACTGCTTCAGGAAATTAAAAATAAGGTAAAAATAGAAATGTGTATGTTGGTTGTAAATAGCTCATTATGGAATTGATATTATCAGTAAAGATGATTTAGGCATTTTTTTGCAGAAAGTGTAAAGCTTTTCCCATGCATTTAATGATTTTTTTTTAGCTAAAATCTTAAAAACAAGTACTTTTAAATTTATATACATACATATTAGATACATTGAAGTGTTCATTGGCATAATGACACATAAATGTAATTTTTTTCAATAAAATGATTTAAAACACAAGATAAATAGTTTCACTATAATTGTAAAAATATTTGTATTCTTTTCATACAGACAAAGCGCATGCTGGTGGAGAAAATGGGACACGAAGCAATAGAACTAGGTCACGGGGACGCCAATATTAACGGTGTGGAGGAGAACACCATGATAGCCAGTCTGTGTGACATGTTAGAGAGAATCTGGTCCCACGGCCTGCAGTCCAAAAAGGTACGGACATTGAGAGGAATAGGAGGTACTGTAGAGCATGAACATAGAGCACGTAGAGTGAAAATTTTGTATTCTCAGTCTGATTGTGTTCATTGCATAAAAATCAAATTGGACATTTAATTGTTAATTTTTGATTAAAGGAAGTCAAATATATGCTTAAATTTTTCTTTAAAAAAAATCCTGTTTTATTATTTAGAAGCATGGAAATTTGTATTTAAATCATTGAATCTAGAAATCTTTTCAGATTATTGTATTTTAATCATCTATTCATGATAAAGCAGTTCAGAAATACATGTACTATGTATATGTGATCATGCAATTGCAAGTCACAGCAAGATTTCACAATTTTTTTCAGGGAAAATCTGCACTTTGGTCACACCTGTTAAGTTACCTGGAGCTCCAAGACTGTAACTATGGTAACCAGTGCCTGGACAGCAATAGATTGGCCCCACCAGGTAATTCTACAGACAACTGTACATTTCATTAGATCAGACATTTATCTTCTGGTTGAAATAAGGGCCTTACCCTTATATAATGTAGAAATCTAATGGAAGTTCTAATATCCTTTTTGAAAAAATGCTCCATATACTGTAAAATCACATATTTTTGTGGGGTCAAATTTTCATGGTTTGAGGGAAAACTCTTGGTTCATGGGGGTTCGATTTTGTGGATGAAGAATTGTTGAGTAGTTATGTATGTAGCATTTTACATTTCATGGTGGACATGAATTTTTGGGACTCTTCATACTTCAAAAACAACGAAAAATAACCCCTCATGAAAATTTGTGGTTTTACAGTTCTACATAGAGTTACTCTACATCTGTTTATGTTAATTTCATCAAAATATTAAGGAGACTGATTTTATGTTTTAGTCCCACGTATACCTATACGTAAGAGAACAAAAGTAGACTTAACATCCATTAGGTCATTATACTTTTGTCTGTGCAGCAGTAAGTAATAGTTTTAAGGATTGTACATTTTTAATGTGTTACTGCTGCGTTCTTTTCAAACATTTTTTTCTATGATATTCAGTTCGTTATTGTATTTTTCCAGTGCATTGCAATTCTTTTATTTCTCCCTTGAAGTCATCGTACAATTTCCAGTTTTACAAACTTAAGCTAAAAACTATAAGATCGAAACATTTTTCCAACATCTCTCTCTAAAACAAACTAAATATCACCTAAATCAAGATATTGGCACATGTTTAACACTGATTTTATGCAAATGTTGCATGCAGCTATATTTTTACGCATTATTTTTTGGATTGACTTATTCTTGCTACTTTGGCTAGTTTTCTTTAAAATGGTTTCACATTAATTTGTGGAGATACTTGCAAGTCAGTTTTGTAAACCAAAAGTGAAGAAATATTAAATATGAAAATAAGTCATGCTTTAGTATTATAACTATTCAAAAGAGGTGTTTTTCATTGAGAATTGTGATTTTAAAAACCCGAAATGTGACTGTGCATTTTCCTTTTGCTCTGAATGCATTTGGAGTGATTTACTTAGGGCTCTCAGTTGCAACTTTAACAAAAATTATAACATGTATGTACACTGTATGTATTTTCATATGATATATTCTTTAGTTTTCTATCAAGACCACTAAAAAAACCGATAGTTCATGATATATATATATATATATATATATATATATATATATATATATATATATATATAAAATTAAGATTGAGAAAACCTTATAAAATTGGCGATTTTTGGTTTGTAAATAAGAACCCTGATGATACAAGTATGAAGCTAGGCCTAGACAGGAATGTGCAGTTTGATGATTCAGAATTAATTAAATTGTGCATGACTAGCAAAATGATGATTTATTTTTTTTGTATTTTTCACTGTACAATAGAGCATTGGAATCAGACATCAAGTAGGTTAACATTTTTTTCCTCTTAGGCACTTTGTCAAATCATTCACTTAGATCCACTCCTATTTCTTTTGCTGTTTCTATTTTTTCTTGTTTTCTTAGGACTATACGTTTCTATTTTGGTCTTGACCCCATAGCTTGGCAAAAGGAATGGAACATGTATTTCCACCCTTAAGGTTTGCATATAGCAGTGTGATAAAAAAGGGGGAAGGGGTCATTGTAGTTCACTTGTAGCATTTGTTGTCACAGATATTTTGTGGAAAATAAGAGTAGGTTAGAAATAAATTTTCTTTAGTATGTTTAATACTCCTCAAAATTTGACTCTCTAAACAAAATTGCATTTTGAAATTCGAAATTTTTAACTTGTTGAACAGCTAATAAAGTGACAAGACAAAGGGCTCTGTAATAGTTCATTTCTACAAGTAAATGCAATGAGTATTAATGCACTTCTTATAAATCAGAGAAGGAATACTATTTATTTTAAGCAATTTTATTTCAGCCAATGAAATATTTTATTTACTTTCCAGAAAAAAAGCTCAGCGTGCACTTTCTTATTCTGATGTATATTTATTCTGATATATTTATAAGAATATATCAAACATACATCTATCTTTATTTTCATGAGAAATGTGATCCTTTTTTATCCCATTTCATTTTGTTATAGTAAATATATTGCACTTGTTACTTGAATTTTCTTTTTTTGAAACTGATGTTGTAATTTTTTTTTTAATGTACCGGTAGGTGTTGCGTATTGTAATCAAAATTACAGGACTGTAGTGATTAAATACAGAAGAAATGCAATTTCTTCCAGAAATCTGATGAATTTACATTCAAGTTATGATATTGTTTAATTATAAAAAGTTGACATATGTACAAAGATCATTTTATTTTTTGAAGAAGGATTTAAGAAAGGGACATCTAGTATATTGGAATTATAGAACAAAAAATACATATTCTTAATCAACCTAAATGAATTCACCAACGTTGTTATTTCATGTTTCGCACAGTTTTAATAATTAACATTATTTCTTTAGCTTAACATCATTATTACTATTGTTAGATCTGACTGTGATGTCCCTGAGTCCAGAAGGCCTACAGGATCAGCCTAGTCATATAAAGACACACCGTCGTAAGGGAAGCACTGGGAGGATAGAGCTACCAACCCTCAACCCATTACCTAACTCCCTGGCTTATGACATGAGGTACAAGTGCATACATTTATTGTAAAACATGCTCAAAGCAAAGTGGCAGGGTTGGTCAATATTGATTTATTTCATACACAATTTACTATATCTGGTAAGTTTAAATTACATTTTTAAACCACAGGAAATTGCACTGCTGCAAGCATGAATATATTATAAGCACATATCATTACAGCCATCTTTTACTGTACTAGGAACAATATACTGTAAGTTTTCAAGTTACATGTAAGTAACTCAGGGAAGGTGATCTGAATTAGTATGTTTTATCAAATATCTTTTAATTATGGATTTGTGCACTGACTTGCACCGGAGAACCTTGCACATTGGCTATTTTCCCAAAATATTCCTATTCTAATAACAGATGTATTAGAAAGATCAAGCTCTGCTTCTCAATTTAAAAATGAAAGCTCCAACAAAAGTACAAAGGAGAAAAAATAAAGTATGATTGTTGTTTCAGAAAAGTTCAGCAGATGGTGGATATCAGAACAGATGTTGGCCACGCTCGAGCTTGGGTCAGACTTGCTCTTGAGAAAAAGATGCTGGCATCTCATCTCAGGGAGCTTCTATCTGATGCAGATTTACTCAGGTATTTAATAAATCACTGGAACTTGTGTAAAATGTTGTAAAATTCCTATTTTATGTTTTGTATGTTTCCCGCTACATGCCAAAAAAAAAAAACCCTAACAAATTACTACTTAAAGTCTGAGAGAAAAGAAAATCACTTTGAAAATGTGTTTTGTATGCTTGTTTATATACCACATACAACTACTTTTTGTACCCATTTTGAATACAGTTTTACTTTTTCTCTTATTTTATTCTATAAAGATACATTCTGTATGAATTTTCAGGAACTTGTACAAGAGATATGCCTTCCTGCGATGTGAGGATGAGAGAGAGCAGTTTTTGTTTCATCTTCTTTCTCTGAATGCTGTAGATTACTTCTCATATACCAATTCTTTTCTCAACACAGGTATGCAATCAACACAACCATATGTGGATAGTGTATTAACATGTAACACATGTTATTATTTAGAAAAAGATCAATTTTTGTACAAAGGAATACCTTGTACAGATGGTTAAACATTAGATTTAATCCCATTGTAGTAAAGTTATGATATTGGAAATTATAATACATGACTACAGTCATGTAGATGAAATGTTCAGGTATCAGTTTAGTTTCTTGTTTAGTTTTCGAGTATTGATATAACTTTTTACCTTGATATCCTTTTTGTTTGCAGTGGTGCCATACAAAGTGCTAATTTTTCCTAGTCCTAAATTTGGTTGTTCTACCACCAGTGCTAATCCATGGATCAGCTTTGCTGGCCAGCACGGTGAGACAGGGGTCGTAGAAATCCCTAAAGGTTGTCTGGAGTTTAATGTAGAGGTAAGGGGAAAAAAGGAAAAAAGAAGAAAATGCTAAAATCAAATATTTCTAACATCTTATTCAGCATTAGAGGTTACTGTAAGCTTTAAATACGCCATGAATTTGCTAAAACTACTTGTTGCTAAAATTTAAACAAAACTGATCTATTAGGGCAAAACACTATATTTGCACCTAGCTAAAATTGCACTTATACAAAATAGAAAAATTATTTTTCAGTTAGTCCATGTATTTGAATTAATCATTAATTCATAAATTTCAGCACAAGAACCTAGGGATATTGACAACTCTCCGTATTGGACATGACAACTCTGGTCTCACCCCACGCTGGCTTGTGGAATATGTTCTAGTCAGAAATGAGTTAACAGGACATCTTTACAAGTAAGAATATATAGTCTAAATAAGTTGTCTCAAACTCAGTGGGAAGAGTAAAGAAAAAAACTAAGATATCCAAGACTTATTGTAGATTTTGAGATAAAAAAGTGACTTCCCTTTGACTTTGACATTTCTATTGTTTTCAATATATCGATGATCAAGACGTCATGAAAGTTCAACTGGATTAAATTTTAGCGACCTCTAAATTTTTAAAGAATGATTTTATTAATTTTGATTATCAGTTCCATTGGCATTTTTTTCTGGTAAAGTCTTTGAAAACTGTTTTATTTAACTATACAGGCATCTCATAAATATTGACCTACATATAATTGTAATGGTAATTTCAGATTCCAATGTGGCAGATGGCTGGGTAAAATGGTGGATGATGGCAGTACAGAAAGATTATTAGTGGCCCAGCTTCTTCCTCAACACTCAGATACTTATGGTAAACTAACTTTTCCAATTTTCATCGACCATTTTCGGTGTACTTGAGTTACTTCAAAAAACCTCAAAGATAAAAGTTGAGGCTCTGTGTAGAGAGGGAATTAAATCTTAACATGTGCTGTAAATATTAACCAATTCATGTACAGTTGTACCATAATTTAGGTGAACTGAACTTTTTTTTTCAAAAAGATTTTTACCAATTTTTAAATTGCTGTGTAAATTATCCAGGCTTATTTATGTGCAATATATATATCTCTGGGAAGATGATTTATTACAAGATAACACTAACTATAGAGTATCTCTCTCCAGATTTAGACTTGGCAGTTGCTTCCTCACCTACAAATAAAGGAATGTCCCCAAACTCACCCAAGAGGTCACCTGATCAAGGTACATTTGAATCTTTATTTCTTTCGTTAAAAATCATGAACATCTTCAAAAAGTTTTGCAGATTAAAGAAGATGATTTTGACCAATAGAGAAATGATTTTAAACATGTAATTAGGGAAATATAAACTGTTTGGAATTTTTATGTGAAATCTTATTTTGTCTATAGGATCTTTAAGAATTCCAGAGATTCAGGAGAGACTAGGGCATGCAGTTAATAATCTAGTCAAACACTTCTATAAACCAGAAAAAGAGGTTAGTATTCCTTACAGTTATTGAGGATTTTCAAAGTAGGACAAAAATCAATTAACTACCCTTATGACGGAACTGTTTTGAAAGTTTTAAGAGATTCTGTTTTAAAGGGGAATAACTCTGAAAAGCAACATTATTATGCAGAATTTTTATATGTACATTTGATTTCAATGTGTATTAGAAAAGATATGATACATAGAAAGTTTGTTTGGTCTCTGAAAGATTGTGTTTTAAAGGGGGATAACTCCGAAAGTTAATATGATATTCCCATGAAATGTTAATACATGTCTGTGAATTTCAATGTGTATAAAAAATCTTTTGAATGAAAGATAAGGTATTTATTCAACTAAAACAAGCCCTTATTGACAGAGGGGGAATTTGACCTACTTATTGTGTGGGGACCAGGGCTTGGTTCATTGTCTGGAGCTGGTATTCCAGTACGGATTCAGGTCATCAAGAATCTTTAGGAACAAATTCTTCATCTGGGACTACCTTGGTTAGTATAAGCATTCATATGTGATGAATGAATATCTGTACAAATGTACATGTATGTATGTTTATAAGTCATGATAAATAAAGTGCAAATTTTGCCGTTTCCTGAATAGATATGTATTCATCTTTGAAAATGGCATTTTTGTTGAAAATGTTCCTAATATTGTGATTTTAAGGTCATATCGTGAAAGAAATAGCTATAAAGAGTAAAATTTCCTAATTATTAGAACCATTGTTTTATGAATTTTTGTTTAGGACCTACTGTAAATCACTTGTAAATTATTTGTAGCAATAACCACAATTCATAAATGGCTCATAAAGAATTATCATATATTTTGTGAAATAAGGTGTTGCAAAAATTATGTAATCTACAGTTGTTGTTTTACCTTAAGCAAAAATTATGATATTGCAAGATATAATGTCTTGTTAACAACTCTTTCTTTTCTTTCAGTATTAGTATCATTACTCTGATTTTATGATTTCAGAAAAGGTAAAGCAGCATTTTGAGAGTGTCTTGACCGGTGAAGTGCGACAAGCCATCACAGATGGAGCTAAGGCAGGCTACTGGATTTACTGTAACTTCCTCAGTAAAATCAACAATGCCACCGAGTCTGTAGGAAAGGACGGCAAATTTCAGATATTTGTCTGTGTGGGTATAAGGTAAGTCTTAGATAAACAGTTAAAATATACATAATTATGAAAAATGGAAATTACACAGTGGTAATATAGGCATAGGCTCAAGTGCACAGTACTGTTGTGGCAAACTCAACAAGCAGTTTTCCTGTGTTAAGTTTGGTTTCCTTGTTGAAAATAAACCCATTTCATAGTCACTTTTCAAAAGCTATAGTTTTATTTATCAAGGAATTTTCCTGAATGTAATTTTTTTAGAGGATAGACATTTATATCAGTTAATTTGTATAACGGATGTCTTCTTCGCAGGGATCATCTGTTGCAGAAGTTACTTCCCCTGATTGCCAACACCCCAGTGACAGCTCAGATGTATGAGGAGAACTCCTTCCTGAGGAATTACAGCCACATTAACTACTTAGTACACATACTCAGTACACTGGAGGAGTTCCAGATCACCCTAGAGTCCTCCCTTCTCCGCGGATTAGATATATGAGAAAGAAAATGGGGGAATGGGGGGGGGGGGGGTAAAAAAGTTCTACCCACCAATATTTATACATCTTATATTCCAATTAGTTTTGAATTCCCATTAATTTCTTCCTAGGATTTACGACAGCAAAACCTGTGATTATTTTGTTTTATCTTCTTTTTTTTTCTTCCTTGTGTAATTTGTTCACATATTAGGATTTTTTCCTTTTTTGTTATAGCTCAAATTAAAACTAAGCATGACAGTCCTTTACCAATTTAGTATGTCATATATATATTTTTTTTTCGTCCTTGCCATATATAGGTTTGATATTTTCAATAGTGAAGAATATGCATGAAGTTTATTAATTTACAATATTTTTAATTGTAACTTGATATTGCTACCCAAGTAAGATGATTCAGTCTTTAATTGCATATACGATGTACATGTATATGAGTGAAAAATAACCAAAACAGAACCATGCACAATACTTATATAATGCATGGTTTCATGATACAGTGCATTTGCAACATGCATTTGGTAATATTTTTATAGGACTGTATTTAGAACTTGCAATAACACTGTCTCAGATTTTACTCCTTGGTGCAAAATTACATGTAATACTTATAGTCAAATTACTGAATCTTTTCAGATCTTTTGCAAGCAGTTTCTTTGTACTGCTTTTGTGTACAAAGTGTCCTACATTTTGATAAATAAAATACTATTGTTTACTAAATGTCGGATCCATATTCCATTGTTCTTGTGAATTTATGTCCAGTATTATAATTCTTTGATTTTTTAAACATGTACATCAAAGGATGTACATTTAATGATTTTTTTTCATGAAAATTACTCAATTTTTAAAGGGTAAATGATTCAAGATAAAAAAAAGAACTTATCTTGGTTTTATATTTTAACATTTTTTCCATCCTGTACAAAAAAAAGGTTCAATTTATTCAAGAAAAAAAAATAGTACAATTCTCTGTCATCCTTGGACTTTCAGTAAAGTGTGGCATTCTCAACACTACGTAAAAAAGCATCTCTCAAATGGCAATGTATATTCTCATTGGTTATGAAATAAATAACATCGGCAACTTTAAATTGTTGTTGACAACAAAGAGACAGCTGAAGCCCCATCACAAAACTGCCACGCCTTACTGAAAAAGTCCAAAAATAACAGAGAATTGTACTATGAGGATATATTAGATGTATTCTTGTAACCAATACTCAGTTTTCTTTGCAATATTGTATCCATAAACCTTGCGATTATTCATTAATTATATGTGTTCATTTTGTAATGACAGAATGAATTGCATATTTGTTAAAATCTTGACAGAAATATCCATAAATTTCAAAGTTTCCAGAAAAAATTAAGAGGTTGTAATTTTTTATTAGTTGGTTAATATAGTTAGGATTGCCCTCTCTCAATGTGCCAATTCTATTTTTTTTTTTTCTAGAGATGTTATTTCTTGTGATTAGAATTATATATTAATTAGTCTTGCATCTCAGAATCATGTTTGGTAATTTTATTTTTTTTTTTTTTGCAATATACATGTATGTTTACCTATGACTAGTAAGTTGCCAATTTGGAATTATTTAGCTCCTGCAATTAAAATATACAAGGGATTGACTTTTTAAATACCTTGAAGATGCATACCGAATTATATGTTTTAAGTGTTAATCACCTTGTTATATGCAAAAGTTTGTTAACACTTTTAATCTGGTGCATTGGATATATAAATCTCAATGCACACCTGTGTGCAAGTTGAAATTTGTCAAAAATAGGATCATAGTCTACATGTTATGTATTAAGACTGTCTTACATCAATATAAAATAATTTGTTTATACTTAAATGGAAAGCCTTGGTAGCTTTTGAACATTGAAAGGGTAAGGGGGGGGTGGGGGGGGGGGCAGAATGGGATGTTTAGAGGTATTTTTCCTGCAATTAAACTCTCGACAAAGTTGATTAGTATTCTACTTTGCAAAAAATATATTTAAAATATTCTTTTAAAATGCATTTTACAACCAACTTTTTGTTGCAAGGAAAGAATGTTTACATTGTGTTTTTAGCTCACCTCAACGAAGTTGGGGGGAGCTCATGTGATACCCTCGGCGTTGGCGTCGGTGTAGGCGTCGGCGTCCCGGGTTAAGGTTAAGTTTTTTGGAGCAGTTTTCTTTTTAAGTACTTCTATGTCCTATATTGATTAGACATGTCCTATATTGATTAGACATGCATGGAAGATGTTTCTAGTGTGTTTCATTGTACCAGTCAAAGTTTCAGATGCTGCAATTTCAGCAAAGGAATGACCAGGTTAATGTTTTTGGTGCAGGTTAACATTTTTGGTGCAGTTTTTGGTGTAGGTCTCATTTCCATGTAACTATAAGCCCTATGTTGACCAAACTTACATGGGTGATACATCTTAGGATGCATACTACCAGCCTTGCTTCGGATGCTGTATCTGACCTACATTTTCCGGTTGAGTGAACAGGTTAAAGTTTTTCGTGAAGGTTTCATTTCGAAGATACTTTGAGCCCTATAATGACCAAACTTGCATGGACGGTACATCTTAGGATGTATTCTACTAGACTTGCTTCGGATGCTGAATCTGACCTACATTTTCCGGTTGAGTGAACAGGTTAAAGTTTTTGGTGCAGGTTTCATTTCCAAGTTACTATGAGACATATAATGACCAAACTTGCATGGATGGTACATCTTAGGATGCATATTACAAGACCTGCTTCGGATGCTGAATCTGACCTACATTTTCTGGTTGAGTGAACAGGTTAAAATTTTTGGTGCAGGTTTCATTTTCAAGGTACTATGAACCCTATAACGACTAAACTTGCATGGATGGTACATCTTAGGATGCATACTACCAGACTTGCTTCAGATGCTGAATCTGACCTACATTTTCCAGTTGAGTGTACAGGTTAAAGTTTTTGGTGAAGGTTTCATTTTGAAGATACTTTGAGCCCTATAATGACCAAACTTGCATGGATGGTACATCTTAGGATGTATTCTACTAGACTTGCTTCGGATGCTGAATCTGACCTACATTTTCCGGTTGAGTGAACAGGTTAAAGTTTTTGGTGCAGGTTTCATTTCCAAGTTACTATGAGACATATAATGACCAAACTTGCATGGATGGTACATCTTAGGATGCATATTACAAGACCTACTTCGGATGTTGAATCTGACCTACATTTTCCGGTTGAGTGAACAGGTTAAAATTTTTGGTGCAGGTTTCATTTCCAAGGTACTATGAACCCTATAACGACTAAACTTGCATGGATTGTTACATCTTAGGATGCATACTACCAGACTTGCTTCGGATGCTGAATCTGACCTGCATTTTCTGGACGAGTAAACAGGTTAAAGTTTATGGTGCAGGATTCATTTCCAAGTAACTTTGAGCCCTATAATGACCAAACTTGCATGGATGGTACATCTAAGGGTGCATTCTACTAGGCTGGCTTCGGATGCTGAATCTGACCTACATTTTCTGGATTAGTGGAAAGGTTAATTTTTTTATACAGGTTTCATTTGCAAGTAACTTTAAGCCCTATGTTGACCAAACTTGCATGGATGATGCATCTTAGGATGCACACTAATGGACTTGCTTCAGATGCTGAATTCGACATACATTTTCCAGATAATAGACCTCGTAAAAGTTATGGGTGCAAGTCTATCACCAAGAAACTATAAGGCTTATATAAACCAGTTGCACAAATGATGCATCAAGGGATGAAAACTCTCAATCTTGCTTCGGATGCTGGATTTTAATTACATTTTTATGATGAAGAACTAGTTTTAAGTTTTTATATAGGTCTATTCCAAAGTATCAAAATTGCATAAATTTTGCATTTTTGGATGTACACTTTTTGTTAATTAATTGTGTGACTTAATTTGCCTTACTTAAAGACAACACACGTTGAGGTGAGCTCTGTAATCTCTGATTACCTATGTTTCAGAATGTAAACATTCTTTCCTTGCAACAAAAAGTGGAAAGTGAATTTGTGGGATCAGTGAGATTCAGTATGTATTTATTCTGTTGTAATGTTAGAGTACTTTGTTTTGTGCATGACTACCAGCATACTAGATATTACAGATCTCCATTCTGTACTCTACAGCATATGTTTTGATTGAAGTCGTATCTATAACTGTACATGTACTGTTAAATGTAGTATTAATTTATTTTTTGTTTATGAAAAAAATATGATTGGAATTTTGTTATTATCCTATTCTTATACTGTCTAGCAATAGTGGTTTGTAAAAATCCTTATTATTTTCTTTTATACAATGGATCCATATTAAATTTATAGATTGTTCTATCTGGATAATGTTTATGAATAATAAATGTTGAGATTTACTTTGGTGTTTATTTTTTGGCCAGTTTGTATGAAGAATCTTTAGGCTCTTATCTCTATCTAAGTGTACCTTAGTTGCAAAGACCCTTTTCCCCTCCCCTAAAGTGTAAAATCCTAGCTGGTCTTTTCTTTTCTTTTTAGGTCACCTGAGTAACTCAGGTGACCTATTGCTATCCGTTTTCGTCCGTCGTCGCGTGTCGTGCGTCATTCGTTAACATTTGAACATTTTCAGCTTCTCTGAAGCAACTTAACAATTTTAACCAAATTTGGTATAAAACATCTATGTGAAGGGGAACAAAAATTTTGAATTTCATGGTCCCCGCCCCCCTGGGGCCTGAGGGGTGGGGCCAAAACCACTAAAATTATTGCAATCTTTAAAAATCTTCTTCTTTACTCCTGGACATCAAGCAGGCAAACTGTTGGCATGAATGTAATGAGCATTGAGTCCTCTACCAAAATTGTGAAATTCATGGCCCCAGGGTCAGGGGTTCTAGTGCTAGGGCGGGGCTATATAGATTATATAGTGAAAATGCATTATTTCTTTGAAAATCTTCTTCTCTGCTCCTGGGTATTAAATAAACTAAGTACATAGTTATGATGAGCAAGAGTGCCTCTACCAAAATTGTGAATTTTATGGCCCCAGGGTCAGGGGTTCTGGTGTTAGGGCGGGGCTCTATTGATCATATAATGAAAATGCAATAATTCTTTGAAAATCTTCTCTGCTTCTGGGTATTAAATAAACTATGTAAGTAAATAGTTATGTTGATCAAGAGTGCCTCTTCCAAAATCGTGAATTTTATGGCCCAGGGTCAGGGGTTCTGGTATTAGGGTGGGGCTCTATTGATCATATAGTGAAAATGCGTTAATTTTTTTAAAATCTTCTTCT